CTTTTCACTCTAGGTTGATTAATTAATAGGGGTCGGTATTTTTGGGTTCGTAATAATGGGGGTAGTGTTGAACAGAAAATTGTTTTGAGTGTGCTTGGTTTAACTAATTTTAATAGTTTATTGTTTTTATTAACCTTAAAAAGTTGTTTTTTTTTAATTTATTGAATTACAACATTCATTTAACCTCAAATATGCACTGTTTTCTTTTTTTTATCATGAGCAAAACCTGAAGAGATATATCTAAAAGTTTAGGTAAAAACTCTCAAAAAAGAGTGACAATCTCTTTGGAACAGAAAATCCTCCAAAATAGGGAGACAATCTCCCCTTTAATTATCCTCTCTAATTGCCAAGGAGGATAGAAGTGCCGACTAGGGGAAAGAAGAAACAAGGAGGAAGGAGATATGGTTTAGTTATCACACTTTCTATTTTAAAGAGATAGTTCTATTTGATTTGATTGTTAGTTGATAACTGATAAAATAGCTAATATTAATTTGAAATCAATCAAAGCCAAGAGGTTAACAAAAGAGTCCAAAAATAAATATAAACAAGTAAAATGAAATAAATCAAATAAAATTGATTAAATCTCAATTTCTACATATGCAGTTGTACATGTATGGAAGTTGTAGGGTACTTTTATGCACTTCTCCATTTTTAATTGAACCTCATAAATTCAGTTATTCTCTATGCAGATCGAGGTGACTTGCCCCAACTTCATTTGGATAAGTAATGACTCCATTTTAATTTTTTATTTTATTTTATTGTTAACAATGGATTTGGATTGATGACATATGGTCAGAGATTAAAATCCTTGACTAATCTTTTTACTTCATAAATTTGTTGGTTGTTCAGCAATTAAAACAACGTGCGCTAACTTCATCCTTGAAGTTTAGCATGGTTACATAGCTTTTTGTTTTTAGTAGAGGCTAAAAGTCTGGTAGGGTTTTAAGACCTCCCAAAACTACCTAGAGGTTATCAGTATCTCTTTTTGTAGAATAAAACAAAAAGGATTTAGGGTTTTGCATTGGGGTTGTTTAGGTTTTCATTTGTCTTAGGTTAATCCTTTTTACAGGTGAAGGTGGGAATGCAGGTGGCTATTTATGCTCTACGTGTCCCTTTCTAGATTCTTTTGATAGGTATTTTGGTCGAAGAAATTTTTTAATACTTACAAACAACGTTTTTAGCGGAATGCAATTCTTTACTTTTATCTTTTTGAAAAGTGTGATAACTAAGGTTTCATTTATTATAGTTGTGTTTTTTAAATTTTATTTTTTGATTGTCAAAATTTAAATAATCAAAATTTATTAAAAAAATTAAAATTAAAATAACCTTTTTTGGTTTTTTGGCACAAGGCAAGGATTCTATTGAGCTCAAAACACTACCACAAGGGGTTATATTATTCATCTGGGTATACCCAGGATAATATAATCAGAGCTCAAATCTTGTTCCTGAGAAAATAGAAATGCTTTTGATAACCTTCTCCTTAATATTAGGGGAATTTGTAAATATTCTAGTGTTTTTTTTTTTTTTTGGTAAGGTAAATATTCTAGTGTTTCTTTCCATACAAAGCCAATAAATTATAGCAGCTAAAGGCTCTTCTGACAACTTTGAATTTTCTTACTCTTGCCCTGGCACCACCGTTGAACCATCGGCCATTCATAAGATATGCCCTTGGTTCATATTGTATGCCTAACTTGGCCAAGATGGCAAGATGGCAAGATGGCC